TCGTGTTGAACTATTTTAATATAAACCTTCCAAGTTGTAGCAATTCCAGTTTTAGTTGTGTCTTCCAGTATTCCCTGTACTTAGTTTTATTTTTTTTTATTCTTTTCTATACAGTAGTTAATACGAGTCAAAGAGTTAGAAAACTATTATATAGTATATACCCAACAATTAAAAGTATCATGACTCATAGACAGTCAGACTGTCAGGACAGTCGTAATGAAGGTTAAATAATTTGTATTAGGTGCAATTAAAGGCAAAATTGCAAAACGAGTACCTATATTCATCAAATGGAAAGTACATGTACCGTTATTTTATTTTTTTTGTGTTTGCCCTGAAATACTAAAACTAAAAAAATTACGATTTATCTACACGTTTTAAATCTTTTATACCTATAGACTATATAATATTTATCATTTCATGTATCTACTGAGTTTCGTGAACATGTCGCACATAATGAGGATTGATAACCACTTTTTAACATCTTTTCATGTTATATTATGCATATTGCATATTATACGTCAACGAAAAAACCATATTTTTCAGACCAATCAGTAATAAAATAGAAGAACTAAAAAGCATAGTTGTATTATATGCAAATTTTGCATACACATTGATCGTATTCATGTTTGTTTATGTTTGTATAGAATATTCTAGGTAAGATAAAAATGTTTTCGAAGTATTGTGAAATATTGTGAAATTAAATATTAAGACTGACTGTGTATTTTTTTACATATTTCATATATTTTACAAAAAGCGTATTTGACGGATTTAAATGTTTTAAAAATTTCAAAAAAATTATTGATATTTTCAATAATACTAGTTACCCGTTATAATGAAGACTTTTTTTGGTTATTTTAATTTCCTATTTGATTTAATATTTTGAAAGATTTTAATGTGATAATCAGGGCTCGGGACTTAAAGCACTTAAAATCATTAAAATAAGCACTTAAAAACATCATTATAAGCACTCAAATAAGCATTTAAAAAACTTAAATTTAAGCAAAAATATTTATTAAAAAAAAAAAAACAATAAAATAAAAATAAAAATTTATCTTTATATTATAAAAAAATTAAACTTCATTTTCAGGACTGAGGATTTTATGGATTTTCCAAGGGATTTTCTGAAAAATAAAATGTAAACAATATTTACAAATAGTTGAAAAAAAAATTTTTTAATACATTTTAATAAATTTTTTTATTTAAATTATTTTTAATTTTAATTCTATCAAAAACAACTTTGCAGTAGAAAACCATAAAAAAGTATGAAAACTGGTCAAAAAAGCAATAAATATCATAAAAACTTGAAATAAGCATTTTTTTGAAAAATCACTGAAAAAAGCAAAAAAAAGCACTCTCAAATTTCATAATTGAATGTGTTGTAACATGACATACACTTCTATAGTACTCTGCTACATTTTATGTCAATCTAAAAAAATAAGCAAATGCTTTAAGTCCCGAGCCCTGGTGATAATAGTTCCAAACCTTTTATTTATATCATATTGTCGTATAAATTGGACTACCTACTACAAAAAGTTAGTTAAATAATACAGTAGTCAATTTTTGTTTCGAATATAGGTAACACCTCAAATATTAACACAGCTGAAACAAAAAACAAAATCAGACTTTCTTAAATAGAGTATTATAAATGACAGCTAAAACGTGTAATAATTAAATCAAACGAAGATTTGTCTGGTGGTATGAAATATTTAATTAAAAAGTAGAAACGTTTTTCGAGAAAACAAGTGAAATAAATTAATGAAATAAAACAGATTAAGAAAAATTTGTATCTTATTAAAAGGCAAACCTACGACAATATAATATTATGTATTAAGAAATATTGTATCTTATAGGTAGAACTTAACAACAACAGATGACGTATAATAATAATATTGCTTATTACTGCAAAATAAAATGTTATTGTTGATTTGGGTTTCTATATGGTGACATACAAATCTGAAAGCCTCATCTACTCAAAATTGATTGGAAAAAAATAGTTTGATCCAGCCGAAGAACATTTCTATGTTTAATATATAGGTATAAATAATTAAATACATATATAAACTTTAAAACGTTAAAATATCTATTTAAAAAAAAAAAAAAAAATTACGTTATCACATATTCCTATGAATATTTATTTGACCACTTATTTATAGGTAGGTATTATATTCTAGTTTTTTTATTAAACGGACGTCTAAACAAGAATTTATGACGCATATATTTCAGACGCGTACGATAGGCGATAGTTGTATGTATATAGGGTTACTGGTTAGGAAGGATTACATTTTAAAGAACTATAGGAATTCCAAATTAGAAATATTAAAAAGCAAATGTAAAATATTGTTTTATCTTAAAATATTCAGTGGACGCGTTGTAATCAGTCAAATTTTTCATTATTTAATAATATGACTTCTGATATAACATAGTATCATAAAAATATCCTTTTTCCGGCAAACAACCGTCCGACAATCACACTACACACGACGTGCAACGGGTTATTTACATAAAATACAATCTATATAACTGGACAATAACAACATAATATTATTTTTATTTTTTTTGTAGGGCACCCTATCTACAGACATAATATCACACAGCTGAATAGATACAAAATATATTATAATAATGTTATATCATATTTTAATATATATCGACGCGACATTTATATTATATTATATATATTCCAATATTACATCGCAAATCAAATTCCCGCGATACGAGGATTTTTTTTATGATCTTGTTATTTTGGTTTTCAATGGTGCAACAATATAAATTAGATACACATATTATTAATATTATTATTACATGTATTACTATAGTCACGCGTGCGGGTCGACGTCGCGGACGTGTCGAGTTAAATAATTTGCTCCGAAGTGACAGCTTTTTATTGTGCACGTCAATCTTTTCGCCAATAACAGCGACGACTTTGCGGTCATTTCATTGGAATTCATTTTTTACGTGGGATCCGCGCATAGTATAAAAAAAAGTCAAAGTCGCGACGATCGCAGCAGCACAACGATTCGCGCCATCCCACCACATGACATAATATGCGTTTTACGGTGATAATTTTCGCGTAGGTAGGTACCTAATAATTATAAGGTATAATATTATTATATAGTCAGGTGCAGCGCATCACAGCGTCGATCGTGTTTTGGATGATTTTTTTTGTCGTCGTATTTATCGCCATTTATCACCTACACTGCGAAGAGATTAGGCTGCCACTTGTGTCGGTTAAAACATAATGCGCCAATAAGTACATGCGCAGAGTTTCGCAACGCGTCCAAAGCGAATCGACGTCTCGTTATCAATCTGCAATCCTCTTGTATTACACGCAAATAAACTTACGAAGAATAGGCGCGCAACATAATAAGATTCGTCCAATACATTGACTGGTACGTATATTATACGTCATATGTACATATTACATAATACTACATAATACATTGTTAAATACTTAAATAAACACAATATAATGTATATTTATCAATTATTAATAAAATACTTGCCCCACATCACCACATTATTAAAATGGGCAATCACGAATTGCCTCCCATCCGACCCTCGAATTGCCCCCCCTCATGTGAATTTTTTTTGAAAAAAGGTTACCCGAATTGCCTCCCGATTTCAAAAATATTATTCACTTGAATTGCCTCCCATTTTAGGCAGTGACCCTCTTGTACAGGAATGTCCTGCAATAGCCCTAATTAATCGATTTAGGTACCTACCTATATCCTTATATTATAAAAAATATTAATACATTAACTACTTAGTAAATTGAGTCAATGCTGATTGATTTAATGTAAATTAAGGTTACCTAAATGTTTTAGTAAATAGCAGTTATAATTAATAATGATAAAAATAATAGATAGTCAATATATCTACCTTTATAAAAAAAAAATGTCTACAAGAAACTAAAATTAAATTTTTATGAACGTTTGAAATTCATTATTTTGCAACATTTGATATTCACTCGATTTCTCATGTAATGATTTTCTTATTTTGTTGTAATTAAAAAACGAATGAGTGTAGATACTTGAAAATTTCTCTGGTAGTTTATATTTGCATTTTCTATAAAAGTTAAAATTTTTCAAAACATTTTGATTTGTTTTGAACTGTTTAGGAACATTTCCAGTTTCCAATTTTATTAGTCTTTTTTTCTATGAATGTCAATAAAACTTTATTTCTTGGGTAAAAAAGTTTGAAAATTGAATATAAGGCTCCTACTATATTGTTACAATAGCAGTTGAAAAATATTAAAAATCCTTAGTCACAATTTTTTTTTAAGCATTTAAAGTTCGAATTTTGACAAAATTTATCATATTTAAAATTTAATAATTATTTTGTACTTAAAAATTTATAAAATGTTCAACATTTATAGTTAAGGATTGAAAATTTAAAACAAGAGTCCACGTAAATAAGTAAATATATAAATTACTTTCTTCAGAAAAATATCATCAAATATACTTAGTAATATCATAAGCTGACTGACCGTTTTCGCTCAGAATCGTTTTTCTTATACAATGATATTATATCATTGAATTCAAATTTAACACCATCCATTACAGCGACCCACTTGTAACCTCCTATACAGCAGAGCGACTTTTCCTCTTTTTACTGTACCTATAATATTCGTATTACATCATAAATTATAAAATGTTAAAATGTAAAGACGTACAATATTTTAGAAAAATGAGGCTAAGCTATAAGTTTTGAGAAGACGAAATATTTTTTTTAAGGTATTCATCACAAAACTGATGATATTAAGTTGAACGCGTTTACCACCACATCAGCTATACATATAATTTCGGTTATAAAAATTGTTCTGACTATTTGAAATAATACCACGTTTATTTTGTTCAGGACTATTCTGCGAGCTGCAGGCTTCTTTGGGACCTCAAGAGTCAAGATAACCTATCGTCGCTTTAAAGTTTGCACGACATCGATATAAACGTGTATACGAGTTTTATCGTTCGTTCAAAACGCCTCGATCGACACCAATCATCATGATTATGACTATAGACACCGTCAAAGCTCTGCGGAGTTCCACAATAGTACTGGCGATCGTATTCGTCGTGTCTTCCGCATCTCATTCTAGGATTGGATTCGATAAATATCATAACCACAAACAGATGACAAATTATTTGATGCAAATAACCGACGAGTTCCCCAACATCTCGTCGTTGTACTCGATCGGCAAGTCGGTTTTAAGTAAGCATCAAGCTATTTGAATATTGCGTCTTAATATTATTAAGACAAGAACTAGATGAAAACTCTGAAATAAGTTGTCGCCTCTCTGGTCTCTGAGCATAATATTTAGCAATTGTTTATACAATAAATAAATAAATTATTTTAAGTACCTACCTATACGAAGATCGGCTTTTACGCCACTGTCATTTAGCTATCCTCCACTTGATGTAATACGAAGACAATTACTTTAGTATTTTACCATACAATATCATATATTTGTGTATCAATGTATAATATTGCATATTTTTTTTTGACGTGTCCCTTTTAAGAACGTGAACTGTGGGTTGTCAAGTTGACTACTGCAAACGAACTTTTGGGTGTGCCAAACATCAAAATTGTCGGCAACATACACGGTAATGAGCCCGTGGGAAGAGAAATCATTTTACATCTGATTCAAGTAAGTCACACGCATGGAATAATATATAGTTTTAAATATAAATATTGTGATAGACATCATGCTATTATTTATCAATTTATAATACATATTATATTGCATAATGGCTATTGATTATATGGTTAATGGTTATATACATTGTTATACACATTGACATAAATAACGATTTACTGTCTATCAGCCGACTATGTAGTAGGTTTGTATTATAAATTATAACACCTTAGTATTAATATTAAATCGAGAGATCTGCTTAATCTGTATATAATATAACAAATTTTTGATGAAGTAAACAGACCATTCATTCCAAATGTACAACATTTATCAATATTTAAGTATGAAAAATTATAAAAACATAAATTTAATTTCAAAATGTATGCTTACTGGTTCGCGGGAAGTCAAGTGTCCTTGATACACACTATTGAGAACCTTATACATTTAAAAATTCAAAGTATAAAATGCGTTTATGTTCAAAATCTACAGTATTTATTGGATAACAATTCAAAAAACAAAGCGATTAACAATTTGTTGCGAACTACCGTCATCCACTTGTTGCCGAGCATGAATCCCGACGGATTCGAAATGTCCGCACCTCAGCCTTGTCCTAACGATGGAATGCAGAGCTTGGGTTCTAGGTAAAATTATTTGTTTGTTAACTACTGTTTGCATTTTTTACCCGACAAGCTACAACAAGTCTTTAATTTTTTATCTTACTATGTCATATTTTTATGTAGAGGAAACGCTTACACTTTTGATTTGAATCGAAATTTTCCGGACATGTTCAATCCGCACACAGTGCCACTTCAACCCGAGACCAAAGCAATGATAGAGTGGTTAAAATCCGTGCCGTTCGTCATGTCTCTAGGCTTACACGGTGGTGCTTTGGTGGCTAATTTCCCTTACGATGGCTCATTGGATTCGGGTGAGCATTATTATATGCACATGATATTTTGTAATTTTGTATATATATATCTGCATAGTGTATATAGTATATCATATTAATTTTTCACCACTATAAATACATATTATTTTATTCTTTACTTGCATTACCTAATGGCTAATACCTATGTTACCCGATCTGTCCAAAATCGTTTATTAATTCTGAGCATGCTATATAATATTTAAAATATAAAATCTACATATTATAATATAATATGAAATAAGACATTTAATTCGTAAATAACTCCTCTTTACTGAATATTAATTATTATACAATATAAAATTATAAAATTTACAAATATATCAAAAATTGTTTTCAAACAAATATCAATGAGTTAGTATCAGTTTAATACTCATAATTCACAGAGTTCAATACAGTGGGTACAAAAATACTATAATATTAAAACAAAGTTTATACAGTTTTTGGAATTATAATACAGCTGCGATTGATACTTCAGCCTACATTGATAGGTAACATATTATCATATGCATTGAATATTGAAATCACATAGTTATAAACATTTTATAAAAAAATTTCACAAATTCAGATTTTGTAATAGGTCACATTTGAATTTTGATACAGACATCTGTGGTCAGACTATCAAGGAATTCATATCATACAAATATTATATGACATAATATTCGATATGTTCGGTAGATAATGGTACATATATATTATATAATTTTTATATTATTTAAGGTATAGGCTGATCCCTTTCCAGCAAGAACTATTATATTGTAAAATATCATAGTCGTTAATGGCGTATGATATATTGATATTACTTGGCAGATGGCCTATCCTCTGCCTGATGTTTTGGATAATATAAGTAATATTGTCCAACGATAATATTTCATTGTGATTTTACAAAATTTGACATTGAGTTTTTAGTGTTAATGTATTGATCATACATTATGTTGTTATATCGTATTATAAGACGACGCCATACCGCATGTGTTATCTCCGTCTTACAAACGCGTAACATACCAAATTTACGCTCAGTAATTCAAGTTTTATGCCGTTAGCTTCAAAAAAGTTTCATATTGGGTCGATTCACTCTAATTTTTATGCTACCGACATAAAACTTCTGAGCGTAAATTTGGTATGTTACGCGTTTGTAAGACGGAGACAACCCAGCGGGTGTGGCGTCCTCTTAATGTATATATTTAAAAATATTGTAATTGCGTTATAGTATATTTTATATAGACATTATCGTTTGTATTTCATTATGACAGTGTCTAGAAAGCTGCAGAAATTAAACGAAACATTACAAATTGACGATGTATTTGAACTCTACAAAATATTAGTAAACGGTAAAAATATCAGAATCACTTTAAGTATGAATGCACATTATAAGCACGCGGTTCGGTATATTATGTAAAATCTCACTTCTTAAAAATAATTGTTAGAGCACTTCAAAAATAAAAATAATAAATCATTTCCAATAATAATAAACTATACTAAAACGTTGTTACGTTAAGTTATCAAACAACTTTTGATTTTTAAATACTTATTGTGTATAGTATATGGCTTTAAATATTAATATTATATCGCTGTTTGACTAACTAATTATTATATATCTAATATTAACGATTCTATGAGAAATCTACGACGTTGTCTAAACTCTATAATAAAGCATGACTGCATGAGTTCGTATTTACTATTTACTGTAGTATTTAAATTCGTAATATCAGCTGTAATAAACTAAATCAACATTTTGCAGAAAGCCAACATTACATAATATTATCAAGTTATTTTAAGCACCAACAACAATCAATATAATAAATAATAAAGCTAAAAGTCATGTTATATGTTTGTATTAAATTCAATAAATTGTAACTCACCTGTAATAATAATATAACACCGCGATATTGAAGTACTTTTAGTTAGTTACCTATTTTCACTATTTTTCAATTACAGAATCTAGTTATAACCAGAATATCAATATGGAGAGTTTAACACCAGACGATGATGTGTTTCGGTTTTTGGCGAAACAATATGCCGATTTGCACCCCACCATGCATAACGGTCTAAGTTGTGAAGATAACTATAGTTTAAAATTCAAAGACGGCATAACGAATGGAGCTGCTTGGTATCAAGTAATAGGTAGGTCAGGGATATGTTTAAGACATCATTTAATTTTTATCTTATAAATTAAGACTACGAGAACTGAGACATTATGATTATGAGTACTCCACGTATCCACGGATCACGCCGTTTATTATTTTATATATTAATATTATATGTATTATTAATCTATCATCTCACTATTGTATGAAAAAAAGTATTGAAGTTTTTAAAACAAGTAAAATAACGCATTTTTTATAGGAAGCATGCAAGATTACAATTACGCATGGCACGGGTGTATGGAAATCACTTTGGAAATGTCTTGTTGCAAGTACCCACCTGCTTCATTTTTGGAATCTCACTGGAAAGATCATTTAAAGGTACTTTACATACAATTATTACAAAAATCTATCTATTGATAAAATTATATGTGACATATTATGTTATATGATATACAAATAGCGCGGTAACAAAGTAAAAACAGTTATATTTTCATTAAAAAAAAAAATAATAATGAATTTTTATTCCGATAATAAATAATAGTTTTATTATAAGCTTCAAATATTTTCTAAAAATATGTATAGAAATAAATAGAAACGAATATATGTGTTTATAATAACTTCAAGGTATCGTCCTTTTGAATTTTATTTCAGCCACTTTTGACATGGATGCAACAAGCGCATAGAGGCGTTAAAGGTTTGGTCACCAACCAAATAACCGGTAAACCCATACCAAACGCCACAGTTAGCCTTACGGACCGTGAAAACTATATAAGCACTACCGTGAACGGAGAATACTGGAAAGTACTACTTCCTGGTGTATACAAGTTACGTGTAAGTATTTTACGAAAGAAAAAATTCCATGATAGTGGTATAAAGGGGTTTGAAAGGTTCAAAAAAAGTTTGTATCAATCACTGCAGTCTTGCATTTCATGATTTAACCCTATACAAGGCAAAATTAATTAACATATCGTGTTAACTTTTTTCAATAAAGGTGTTATATTAAAAGATAAATATTAATGATTTGAGAATTTGAGCGACTATAATGACCACTGTCCATTTAGTACCTATTAAACTTAGGTGGTCTATATATTTTAGCCACCAACAACATCTCTCACCTAACCATCTCACCTGCCCTTCACTTTAAAGGAATAGAAATTCCAATCGAAACCCAAATTAAATATCTGGGCCTGATCTTAGATAAAAAGCGTCTCACCATGGGCCCACATTTAAATCGACAAGGAAAAAGCCTAACAGTAGACTATACATTTCCTACGTCCTATTCTTAAATCTAATCTTTCTCTCAACAATAAAATCATAATTTACAAATCAATATTGAGGCCTAGCTGGGGCCAGATATGGAGCTGCGCTAAAGCATCCCAAACAAAAATAATTCGAATATACAGAAATGTTTAAAATATATATGGATGGATTCAATGTCAATAAGACATACTTGGGTATGAAATTTACCAGGTATACCCATTTTAGAGGTGCAATTTATACCATACTATTTTTACTATACCTACAGATCACTGTGGGCGTAATTTACAATCACCCATTGACGATATTATACTAATGTACACGTCTACTGAACCCGGGCAGGTGAACGCGATCGGATTCGACGAGAAAATCGTCCGAGTAAAGGTGCCGGAGGAGAGCGAGGATGAAGAGGAAGGACCTCGGCCGCAATTGGTGAACTTCCAGTTGGAACCGACGAAGACGAAGATAGCCAACAGTGGCAGCAGCAGCACCGTAAGTGACAGTGACCACTACAACACGTATTGGGTGTCGGACAGCGACCTACACGGCGCGACGGATCGGGGGATGGAGGCCGATACGGATGTCGTACTTATCGACTCGGATCGGCCTTTGGCTGCCGTACAAAAGTCGTCCGTCGACAAGCGCTTGTGGTTGGTGGTGGAAGGTAAGGAGAAGGAGGACGAAGGCGATGACGGCTACAACGGTCGCAGTGGTAACCGATACGACGACGTCAATCGGCTACAGTCGATGCGACCGCCGCTGCCCGTTCAGTCATCGTCCGCCCGTCCCGGTAACCACTCTCCATCTGGCGTAACCAGAGCGGTACAAATTCTGTGCCTATTGCCGTTCTCGTATTATGTCGCCCACATACTCTCGTGATCGTCGTCATAATGATCCGCGCTTAACTAACATAACAATCATTTATCGTCATATTAGATATAATATTGTAATTTAACTAAGTATTATCGGACAAACTATGGTAGATTCAACGCTCTTATACATGTCTCAGCTGATAGGTACAACACTAGGTGGTGGCTAACCTGCAGTGCAATGCATGTCGTTTTCATACATGGAAACTTCAATGGAAAAAATCCAAACTTTCAAATCTCGGGCTTTAGAATAATACATTTATCCGTCGTTTTACAATTTATCATACCAGGTGATCGTTTACGTAAGACTATCGTATTATTCCAAAAAATATTGACTTTTTTTTACATAATTTTTTAGTGGGTACAGAACAAGATATTTGGAAAACAAGAATTTTTAGTTTATTCTTATATACGTTTTAGAGTTGTAATGTTTTATCATTTTGGTTCATTTGTTTTGGCCACTGTTAGCAATTTTGATGGTCCACGAACAATAATTCCAGATCCTAATGTGGCCCTTCCAAAATATTAAATTGTTACCCCTGGTGTACAACATAATAATATTCACTAACTAATTAAGTTAAATAAGTACCTACTAACAAATAATAATACTTAAGGTTTTCAAGTAAAACGTTTTGTTCGTTTGTATATACTGTAGTGTGATGTCTTGATGTTTTATAATATAATATAAAAATAAATAATAATTGTGTAAAGGGGTGTGCCCAGGATTTCATAAAAAATAAGGTTAAAAAACTAAAAAATCAATTTGGGGGTGGTTTGACCCCCCAAAACCACCCCTGGGCACGCCCCTGATTGTGTCCCTCGCGCCACTCGATGACAGTATTTTTTCGCGTCAGGCGTCGCTAGTCTAGTATAACACTATTAATATTATTATTCAATTATTTTTTTTTAATTTATTGTCCCTGTAAGTTTTAGTTCTCTGTTCGTATGAGGAATTGAACATCGAACTGTTATTTTTTCATGTAACGTAATTGTATAAGTGTATATTTATTTATTTATGTGGAACAACGTAATTTACACGATTAATCTCTAATGAGTAATGACTGATATGTTGTGAGCGTATTGCGTGTCTAAATAACGTGGCCTTGGCGTTGTGTATCGTTCTATATACGATTTTAAATATTATATACGAAATATTTTCGACTGCTGAGTGCTGGCTAACACCCAAATAGCATCACCCATTCAATTACAATATTTGTAACATTTATATTTTATTATACTAATAAATAACAATATAATTATTATATTAATTTAATCATATCTGTGTGTGTGTGTGTTGATCTAACGATCTTATTGTCTATTAATATATACAATCCGGTGATGGTGGAAATCGTCCAGTCTTACTAATATTGTTTATTGCGATACGACAAAGATATAAACATCGTAATAATAATAAAGTGTTATTAAACGTATTATAATATTGATCATTTCACTATTTCAGGCATCAACATATTATTATAACGCCTGCACCAGTATTATAATAATAACTGTTACATATTTTACGGTCTTGTGATTTTCTTCATTTGAACGATTTTCTAACAACTATTTTGTATATATATAGAGATAATAATATATGCTATAATATAGTGGAGCCAGAAATTCTTATGAGCTTACCTGTGTTTTTATTTTTGACGAAAGAATAATATCGGATGACGGTTTGCAAGAGTCTGTTCGGTGAGGTTTTTCGACGCAGTAACGTACCTATATTGCCTATACGTAGCGCCGTGCAATACGCAATATTCGCGAACGACACAAGTCACGAGAAATAACATTTTTAAAAAACTGGGGGAGCACTATCTACTATATAACACGTGTTTCGAGTACACCTTGTCATTGATAAGAAAAAACAAGTGTGCACAGGTCTTAATATTTAGCCAGGCCTGGAATGATACACATTTCGTTTTTTGCGACCAAAGTCCGCATAGTTACTTGTTACTTGTATAGAAATCCAAAGCCACCTTATGATCTTTAGAAATAAATAGAATCTCTTATTCCGATTCACCAAACTAATATGAAATCATTAAGATATATCATTTTAATAATTATTATTTAGAGAATGAGTCACTTAGAAGTCTGATGCCGTCATGTATTTGGCGTAATTTTATGAATTAGATATATTAATTGATCTAATACCTAAGTACCTACCTAAAAACTATTAAGGTTCAGTATTTTTTTTTTATGAAAGTTTATTTAATATTTTAATCATTTATAAATCTAGCACTCCATTGTTAATTTAATTAATTAAAATTGTACAATACACTTGTCAGTGGCATAGCCAGAGGAGGCTTTAAGCCAACCCCCTCCCCTCCGAAGTTTTAAGAAAATTAAAAAATTATTTCTATTGTCTATGAAAGTTACTGTAAATACAAATTTGTATAGCCGTACACGAACAGAAACCTAAAATAAAACCTCGGCATCAGTATACTAAACTTATGGGAGACCCTAGTTAAACCAACTCTGTAAAAACATTATCAGGTAAGGTTAGATTAGGTTAGGGTGCCCCAATAGAAATTCTGCCAAACACTCGTGTGTTTCTAATGCATACGAGACACGTAAAAAAAAAATCATTATCACAGTGTCATGTTTAATATTAGGACTGTTCTGACTAACAGGATATTTTTATTTTTTTAGTTATATCTTATTTTCGTACAAAAAAAACCTGATTTGGATTATCTTGACACCTAACCAATAATATTGGTAATCATTTTTAGTGAAATGCCAATAATAAACATTAATATGTTATTATAATAAACAATAAACAGCAAATAAATGTGTTTGGAAAATATATCATATTCTGAGCGGAGCGAGGAATCTAGTGGTTTTACAATGGTTTTTTTTTTTGTATACAAAATTAAAACCAGAAGGAGAGCTTTGATTTCAACATACAGTACCTCCTTATCTTTTAGCAAATTGGACCAAGATGATTCTTTAAAGAGGTCATGTTTCGATTTTCTCAATAGTTATTTAATGCCATGGGAAAAACCACCGACAAATTACGAAAAACCGCTTTAAAGGGGATCTAAATCGGCCCACCACCCACCACAATTAGGGGGAGGAGGCTGAAAATAATCCATGAAATCGATAAATTTTTTTTAATGGTCACTTTATATTTAATAATAATTTAGATTTAAGTATGTCATAAAGATATAACTGCATTACCTGCATTACAGATTCAAAAAAAAATTTTAATATATATTTTTAATACTAACATATAAAATTCACTCATAAATATTATAAAGACATTCGTCTCTTAAAATCTACAGCTACCTTCAAATCGTCTATTACACCATCAGCATCAACATTGAGTGTCATTTCCTGTTCTACTGTTAATATCATCAACGCATTAAATCTGTCTTAATTCATGGTAGATCTCGATTTGGATTTAACTAGGGTCAATCTAGAGAAAGACCTCTCAGAAGTACAACGTGGTACTGGGATCACTACAAACTTTTGAATGACATAATAAAAATTGGTTCAAGTATTTATAATGATCATTAGACTTCAGTCAAATTAAGCATTTATCGATTTTACTTTTCTTAATTAAATTAAAGCAGCCTTCGGGCCGATTAGGGCGTGCAGCTGCATACCCTGCACGCACCGTAGCTCCGCCTATAGTTTAAATGTTTTAATTTAAAGTAAGTTCAATGCAGTCTTGCACAATTGGCATATTGCCAAACAATTCATTCTTTCAAAAATTGACATTTATAAGGAAGGAATGAGCACTCTAAAAGTAGACACTAAAATGTTTTTTTTTAAACAAATAACAGTGAATTTATGTACAATATTATTATTGACAAATTATATTGTAAAAACAATTTTATACTTTTATTGCAGTCTAAACTCGTGGATTGTTCATCTCAAAAAAAAAAAAAAACAAAGCTTCAATTATAATAATTATCAGATTTATTCTCTAGTTTATGTTAAAAGTTATACATTTTGAACACCTAATAAGTAAAATGTTAATAATTATAAACAACAATAGTAACTTAATATTAACAGTTGGCAAGTCTAATTGTAAGACGTCCAAATTAAGCTCGAAAACCAAATATATACAAATCTAGATTAATTAGATAAAAAGCATTATGTATATTAAACAGTTAACTAGTATCTTTGGATATAATATTAAAAGGAAGCTGTACAAATAATATAACAATGAAATAACTGAACAATTACAATAGTAATAATTTACTGAAATACAAATGAAAATAATAAAATTATTTACATATATATTATATATATATTTTCCAAATTGTGTTAAACAAATACAGTCATCATTTTTCAACATGTTATTAATTAATAAAATGTAATTAATTATTAATTATGAGCAACACAAATTATCTAAAACTAAGTAATATAAATAACAATGTTGTCCAACAGCAAAGTATATTAACTTGAGGAAAATAAATACTATTTATGCTTACATGGAACTAGGACTAAGTGTGAAAATCTCTGTTACTATAACAGTATTCACGCTAATACCATTACATTACGAATGACAAAACATTAAAATTGATCGTTCAACCAGACTACCGAATATTGTATCATGTTACTCATTAAAACCTAGGTTGAGTGGTACTAACTACTTTGGATGCTTTCATCTTGATAACAGATGCAACCAAATCGTCCATACTGATAGGCCTCAACATATTAATACTGGCTGCATTGATTGGATTGGAGTTTAATGAACTGTAGGGAAAAAGGAATTTAACAATTTAATACGGATTTACTAATCGAACAAAAATTTACTAAAACATTTTAAATTACCATTTTTGAAGTTCCTCTTCTTTAATCAAGTCTTTGATGCGGAATAACGATGCGATACGACACAATTCTTGAAGGTCAGATCCGGAAAATCCGGTTGTAGATATGGCTAACTGATGTAGATCTACATTATCTGCACATTGTTCAGTATTCAAAACTAAGGTCAGTATTTCTTTTCTTTGTTGTTCACCCTAAAAATTATCAATACAATTCTCATTATACAATGATCAAAGTAGTATAATACAATCACTTCCTCTGTGAGGGTGATATAATCACATTTGCTAGTCGGTACACATTTCTTTTACTAATTTAAAGACTACTACTTTTTTACACTAAACTCTCACAAAAGAATGATAACAACATACAAATATTATAATATAATGCAAATTTGATTATTAATTAATAATTAATAATGTAATTTTTTTGGAAACTTAATTTTAAAATGTATAATAAATTGAACATAATTTGAATTTCATTAAATTAAATATGTTTGTTTACCTATAAAATTAATATTTTCTTAGATTCTATATAAATTGTTTTATACGAATTTTCATATTAAATTCAAAAAAAAAAATTTATTGCTGTTAATAATGGCAGCTCAAAGGAGGTATATTTGAATCACGTGATTCACAAAAAGTTAAAGCAGCCACTAGCTGTAAATAAATTGATACTAGCAAGTTTTATTTTAATAATAATTGTAATCATTTCTAAAGCTAAAATATTTAAATAATAAATAAGAAGGAAATGTTATTTTCAAAAAACATTCAATGCATATTTTTATTTGGCTTTCAGTACTTTAAGAAGTATACTTATAGTATACTAAGTATACTACATATTTACCGGTAATGATATTTCAAAAGTGGCTGGCATCCTCCTGAGTATGGCAGGATCTAAGTCTTTAGGTCTATTTGTGGCGCCCATTACTATGACAGTATTTTCTGGATCAGTTGATAAACCATCCCATAGCATCATAAACTGAGCCTTCATCATAGCGGTTGCTTCATGATCATGCTGTGTTCTAGATCTCAAAAAAGAATCTGAAATATAAGTAATATTATTAATATACTAGTCAAAATCACTCCATGTAAACATTTTTAAAAATGATGAGATTAGGCTTGACTTTTTAGCATAATGTAAACTAATTGTATGAATTCTACTACAGCAAATTTTTATAACAAATATTAGATAAGTATTTAAAATGGAAAGTATAAAATATTTTTATAATTGGTATGGATTAGGTGTATTCAAACTGTGTGTGGCGAGTATTCGTCAGAAAAGTTGTGACACAGAGGAAAAAAATAATGATGATAACGATTAATATATTATTTTATTCTAAACATTTAATTTAAGTTTTCTATGCATAATTATTATTAAATTTGTTGTTTTGATATAATTTACAAAAAAATTTAAAATCTTAAAATTATTTACAAAATTGAGCTTAATATATTGCAGTACCCCCTTTAAGCAAAGCTTGTGCTGGGGGTATTATAATTAATGTATATATCGTAGGTATATTATTATAGAATATGATTATAAATAATTTAACATTATAACATATTTTTTTCTGTGTCCATACTAATTTGAGTCACCAAAATTTTGTGAAGGATACTGTGTCTGGATATGGGGAATTAAAAAATTTGAATACCTCTGACATAGAGTATACTACTATAGAAATAACTTAAAATTTAAAATTGATTTATAGAAAATAAAATGTATGTCGTATAGTGATATAATATTTTGCAAAACAGTAATATTTATTAATCATATGAAATAATAAACACATCAGAGAACTTAAATATGTACTTCTAGCAGCATATTTATCTGACGGTAGTATCATTTGAATGCCCTCAAGGAAGTGTACTTCAAATACATAAAAAAAAAGTGGAACAAATCTTTTAAAGTTACAATTTAAATTTGAAATGTTTCAAGTCAAAACTTATAATGAAACGCTTAGTGCCTAATAGTGTTTAAACAAATGTTGTAGGTATCTCCTAATAACTAATATTAAATAATTAATAAAATATAATCACATTACCGATTTCATCAATAAATATTATGCAAGGCTGAAGCTTTTGAGCCAAACTGAAAACGGCACCAGCTAACTTTTGGCTTTCACCGTACCATTTGTCAGTGAGTAATGACACATCCAGGTATAAAAAATTCATACCCGCTTCTCTGGCGGTTGCCTTGGCAATCATTGTCTTTCCGCAACCAGGAGGTCCGTGAAGCAAAACTCCTAAAAATAGGTAGGTATTATAAAAATTAAAATAATAAATATTAAATTGAAAATATACCTTTTGGCGGTTTTGTCAAGACGGAATTCCTAAGCAGTTCTTTTCTTTGCACTGGAAATATCACGGTCTCTTTGATTTCATCTATTACTTGACTAAGTCCAGCAATGTTATTCCAAGAAACAGTGATATCGTATGGATTTACCAAGTGACTGGCAATCATCAACTCATGGTCAGTTAACTGAAATCAAAGACAAATTCATCAGAATATCTGTATACCTTATTCGATGACTCGACTTACGTTCTTCATTTTATGAAGACCTAAGCTTCTGAGTTTGCTGAGTGCCTGAAACACACAAAAATAATTACATGTCTATGTTTTACGTAAAAACAAAGTTAACTCACGGTCTGCTTGGATCGTTTTTTTTGTTGATTGGTTGGATCAATCTGTCCGATCAACCATTTAGTACCAAAATAAGCACACGTTGACAACAAAGTCATACGTATCACCAACGATATGACTTCATTTCTATTCATTTCCATTTTGCCACAGTAGGTATTCACGAAAATAAATCTAAAAACCTATAGAAAAATTTTCTCTCGGATTGGTATTTTGATTCTTAAATTAAATAACTTTTATTCGTACGAAAAATACAGAGATATTTGACGGTCTAAACGAGCTGTACACCCGAGAATTCAATACAGTCTTATTCAGAATCTTAATGTTCTCTTAAATCAAATTTTTTTTAAATAAAAACTAGCAAAAAAAACAATATTGAAAATTACGACCGTATCAGTTAGATTCATAACCTAAAATGATTTTTAAAAGGTTTATCAATTATTTTGAGGTTGCATTTGACCATTCGACAAGTCTTGGGTACATACCACCGTTACCAGTGCTTACCATTGTCAGTGGCGGTTTTTAGGAGGGGTGGGGGGCGCTCACCCCCCCCCATGGGTTTTTGTGCATGTCCTTTTTTTAAATGCTTGAACTGCTTTAATTGTGGTGAGGGAGGCCCAAAAATTGAAAATAGCCCCCCCCCTTGATGTATTATCAAAACGACCACTGACCATTGTATATTGTCATAAATCACTAATCAGAATAAATTCAGAGAAATGCTCTCAAAAAAATTCGTTTAAATTTTGTTGAATGACGATTTTATATTAGTATTAGTACCTATATTACTATATTATTGACTACTGACTTATCGTCTTTTTATAGTATTTAATGTACATTTTGTATGTGTAACAATGAAGTAGAACCCAATAGCCCATCGGGCTTGGAATATAGTGCTTTAGGATATATATACTCAACTTCCAAGGCTTCGTCAATCCATTGAAATATCCGTCAACAACTTACTTATAATTAATATACCTAGGCCACAGACTTGTTACGGGCTAACGCAGTTCCCTACCGTGTTGCGATGCAAATTTCAAACACTGGATTATGGCTACAGGCATAGAACTTAAATCATGGCTATGGTTACCTACAACAGTGATTCACATAATCTAAGGCTACAGGGCTACAATAGTGCAATGGCTACAAGCACAGGGCTTTTACGCTTCGGCAACGCATTTTATGTATTTACTGTTAATTACCTAATAATCTAACCAAGGGTTTTCGATTGAGTATAATATCCTGAGAAGATTTATTCCTTTCAACACTAGCAGTTACAAGATATAATATGAAATAAACAATAATATGATCTAGGTTGACGACCACATTAAATTAAATGCAATCATAGACTTCATCATTTAAAAAGGAAAGTATCCTCATTAAAATCCAAACTATCCCTACAAAAATAAAAATATAGTAATATATTACTTATCCTTCTTTTTTCTCCTTATAATCTTATGGAATTTAATTTTAGGGAGAAATCAAATACTTAAAATATTGTACTATTTCCTATCCAATCAATTTCCCACAGAACAATAATCAATGTACTGTAGTATGTTAGTGACCGACCCTCCATAATGACCATCTTTGATCAAGCATCTAAACTCTACAAACAATTTAATTAAAAAAGTACATCATTCAAAACCCCCCCCCCCCCGATATCAAATTTATTCTCTAGACCCAGTCAATACATTATACAACCAGAAGACTGAAAAAAAGTCATAGACATTTTAATCTAATTATTATTCACTCAATTTTTTTTTTAAGCAATACTACATTCTAGATAACTATTTTTATTTAACATAAATTTACATATACCTATTTATAATTAATGTTATAATGATAATTTCTTAGGCAGGTGTTAGCATGTTTAAAAATAGGTAGAACGTACGGTTTTTCGAACAATGTTTTCTACTAGAATAAAAATGTTATCTACTAATTTCCATCAAGTGCATCAGATAAACAATTAAAACAACATTTGTCATGTATGAAATATTAAAGGGTAGATCACAAACTAGTATATTTTAAACAAACACCAATTTTCAACACAAATTATACTTATTACCTGATCTACATTACTTGTAGCAAATATTATTAAAGAAAGAAATGAGTGATTGAATAATTGTATTATGTGACACACAAATAGACCAATTGAATTTAAAAAATAAGACCATGTATTGTGTTTTTAACTCAAGTTCATTTATTGACTTAAATAGTATAGACAAAAATTACATGACTGTAATGAGTGGTGAATGTTGGAGTGGTCAGTTTACAGCAAGAACGTGGGAAAAAACAACATTTAGTCCATCTGAAACAATCGAAACAAAATTTGAACAATGGTTAAATCTAATCGGACAATAAAAACTCACCTTCTTGAAACCAATGTCGTTGGCGTATTCACGGAAACACTGTCGGCACAAGTTGATGCCGTACTTCCTGATGAGACCGTGCCTGTTCGTGCACGCCCGGCTGCAATAAGATATTGGCAAACGATTAATGGGTGTAAATCAGATTTACTATTGTACAAATCATGGAAATCATTATAACATGGACACTAGGTAGTTAGCAGGGGGTAAACCGTTTGAATAAAATACACATTAGTGTAATTCTACAAGACTTGGACGATCGGAACTGATCGTGCATCGTTCAAACCATCGACCGCCTGTTGTTGTTTTCAACCAAGTTGTTGCAACCTCTAAACGCACCGCCATATACAATAATATTATACACACCAGCTAAATGACATGTCGTCGTGTACGTCGTGCGGGGAGTATACGAAACAATATGAAACGAGTTCGACTTACCAGTAACGGGATCCTTGGCCGTAGCGTCTTGGATGCGAGTACCATACGTTGGCGAAACCCATTTTTGATTGTTTTAAGTCGGCAAAACTACAAGAGACAAAAAACTAACACGTGTGGTGCAAAAGTGAATTTCTTAAAAGTCGGCGGCCGAAGTGAACTGAGCGATGATAATTTCGTGAAAATCGTGTAATGCACGACAGACGATAGAACCGAACAAACCGAAACAGGAAAGGAAAGTAGAGGGACGCAGTGTCTCCCAAAATGGTATTTTAAAGGTTATGTTTGAGAAAAAAAACCATGTTTTGTGATAAATTGATAACTCATATCACATAACAATAATATGCGATAGTGCGAGGATAACAAGTGATAAACCCGAGACCGAGTATTTGAGCACAGAAATACAGAATAATAATACTGTGGTTTGAGTAAATTATTTGAAAATTTAGGCATCACGAACAATGGAAAACGCGTGGAAAACTGAAATTCCAGAATTCAGGCCGGAAGACAATCCTCACGGGCTGTTGGAAGAAAGTGCGTTCGCCACATTATTTCCCAAGTACCGAGAAACATACCTGAAAGAATGTTGGCCGTTAGTACAAAACTCCTTGTCCAAATACCACATCAAGGCTGACCTGGACTTGCTAGAAGGCAGTATGAGTGTGCGCACTACACGCAAAACCTGGGACCCGGCATCAATATTGAAGGCACGAGACTTAATCAAACTGTTGTCGAGGAGTGTTCCGTACGAGCATGCTGTACGCGTAATGGAAGACGATATGGCCGCTGACATCATTAAGATTGGCTCTATGGTAAGGAATCGTGACAAATTTGTAAAACGGAGACAAAGACTCATCGGTCCGGGAGGGTGTACCCTGAAATCTGTCGAGTTATTGACTAACTGTTACGTGCTTGTACAAGGGCAAACTGTAGCTGCTCTAGGACCATTCAAAGGACTACAACAGGTATGTGAAAATTGTTTTAATTAATTAACAGGTTGTATGTGGTATAATTGTTTTATTGTATGGTATTTCAGGTACGCCGTATTGTGACGGATACAATGAAAAATGTTCATCCCATTTACAATATAAAATCATTAATGATCAAACGTGAACTGGAGAGAAATCCTAAGTTAAAGAATGAAAATTGGGATAGATTTCTGCCAAATTTCAAACCCAAGAATGTACCTAAAAAGAAATCAACAAAGAAAGCAAAGAAACCGTACACTCCATTCCCACCAGCTCCAGCAGAGAGTAAAATAGACAAATTATTAGAGTCAGGTGAGTACTTCCTCAAAGAAGATGAGAAACAAAAGAGGAAAAAGAAAGTCAAAGAAGACAAGCAGAAGGAAGCTAAAATTAAAAGAGAAGCAAAACGTAATATGGCATTCATTCCTCCTGTTGAATAAAAATGTAAAACTAAATTATAAATGTATATACATAAAAATATGATGATTTTTAAGTTTATTATTTTAAAATATAATTTAAAAGTTGACTACCGTGATCATTTCATATTTTTTTAACCCTAACCTATAATAAGTTAGGCACTGCAGTGCCACTAATTTTGCATTTCAAAATAGATTTTGCAGATCGACTATTTTTAAAATAAGTTGGAAGTTGTCTCATGTTTGATAATAGGTACTCTTATATTAAAACTAACAAATCTATATGTCGACTGCTGAATGTAATTTTGCGATGTTACGCACTTAAAAGAAGAACACAACACATTCTGGTGAGACGTCCTCTTTCCAAAATAAACAATATTTAAACATACCTTCTTTTTCAGAATACAAACAGTGTTAGATATCTCATTAGGGATCATTAGAATAATTTCTTGGATTCTTCTTGAACGGCTAAATAAATAACCAGAATTAAGCTAAATAATATGTATATTATATTAGTTAAATGTTAATTTAATGTTTTGTTGAACACAGGTATAAATAACAAGTATGGTTGAAAATAATGAAAAAATTACCCATTATATAAATTAATAAAATAAGTAACAGAAGCACTAAGTAATTTTTGTAATTTTATTATACAATACCAATAAAATATTTTAAATAGTATTACACAAGATGATAGTTACATACTAACTTATATTTATCTTATTCAATAACACTAGTCAAGAGATAGTCAAACATCGATAGTAGATGATTTTGTTAACAACGTAGGTATTTCACTATTTTAAAAGAAATTTGTTTTTTTTTTTTATAATAAGTACGTACTAAGTAATAACTAGGAAAATTGATGATTTTTTCAGTTTCAGTTTGGTTTTAAGCAGAAATATTGGTTTAGTTATTAGATAAATTTATATACGGTAACAATTTTTCAAAACAAATTAAAATATGGTTCATAATATACAGTGATCATTGTTAATCAATCGTATATTGTTATCGAAAAGTGTAAGTACGGACCCAGAAGTATTACGTAAATACTTTAATTTAATTTAATTTAATCATGCGCAACATAGACAAAACACATTTACCCAGAATCATTTTTTTCTCTGTTTTTAAGTAATCTTAGAGTAAAATAACCTATTACAAAGAAGATGGGGAGTAATATTTTTGAGGGAAGGTCATATCGATTTTTCTAAATATTGTATCAAAACAATTTAAACATCATCTAAATGTAAAACATTTTTTTGTTTATTTTGAAAGGCAAATAACAATAAAATATAAAATCGATGTCATTCCCTCAAAAATATTATTTTCTATCTTTTTCTCGTAATGGGTGATTTAACTCTAAAATTACTTAAAACATAGACAAAATGATTCTGTGTTAATGCGTTTTGTCTATGCTGCGCGTGGACCAGAGAGAAAACAAATAGTGCGCTGACATCATCTGAAGTGTTATCAGTCGGTTTATGTTATAAGTTTTGTCCAGTACCAAAGTGATTACTTTGAGCGGTGACAACCATATTTTAAAGATTCAGGTTACAAAATAAGTTTTTTTTCCAGTACAGTTTCAGTCCCTGACTAAGTAGTAAAGGTAGGTGCTATAATAGTATATAATATTTATTTTATAAAATTGGTAATTATTTAAAACGAGACTACAATATAACTGGAAGAAAAAGTGTAAGATCTTTACAAAAGTATAGTTACTTATAACACAATTCACATAAAGAAATATTCTTGTTACAAAAAAGTACAAACCGGTTGTTTAAACATTTAAAAAAAAACTCATTTTGATAACTTAAACGAATAATAATGAACAAAATGTTCAAATAAATAAAAAAAAAAATTATGGGTATACCAAGTATATAAGTCACAATAAGAAAAAATAAATAGTGCAATAAAAACATGATTATTACTATAAACTAACCTAATCATTATATTTATCTAATGCATAACTTATATCTTCTGGACTGACGTTGAGTGACACTTTACGGAATATGTCCCATCGTTTCTTTTCCAAAAATATAAGACCGCTATCCCTTAATCGGTATGCCATCATAAGAACTTGTTGCTCATTTGGCAATTCTTCGCCTAGTACAAAGTAAAAAGTAATTGTTTTTTAGACATAAACTATAATCAAAGTAGAATAATAAAACCGTACCTTCAAGCAAGCAAATGGTTTTCAGTTGTGTGTAAACTGAATCAATAGTACTATGCTCAATACCTGTACTTGATGTAACATCTCTAAGTGCTCTGAGGAAAAATTGTTCAAAGAGACAACAGCACCTTAACAATAAATTTTAATATATATTTTTAGAATAAAATTAACTTAAGTATTTAATATATTAAATCTATTGAAAGTTATACATTCTTTCTTGTAGTATGAATTCTTTAATACTTTCTTTGTCAATTAAAACATTTAAACAGGTAAATATTATAAGATGAATTCACTTTTCTTTTATTTGTTCTTGACACATACTTATAAGTTATAGGAATTATAGTAACATTTTTGATATTTTATTCATTTTGTTCTATTCTATTATTAACCTATGGTTTCTAAGGTTTATTTCTAACTGTTTAAATTCTTGAATTAAGCTAACTTATTGTATTATTTTCTACTGATCAATGAACATTTATAAATAAAAAAAATGGGTGTCGCTCCGCAGTACAGTATGCTACAAGTGGGTCACAACAATGGATGATGTTAAGTTTAAATTCTACGATTTTGAGCGGAGATAGAATTTTAGCCATTGTATATTTCATATAACATTTATATTTTTATTGAATTAATACGGTAGCCGGTAAGTTGAATTAATAATATTTGCATATTATCATATTTCAATATTTTGAGAAATTTTAAGTACCATCCCACAAAAAATATTTATAAAATTACAACAAAATAACTAAAATAGGTATTCTTGGTTATTTAATGTGTAATTCCGTCTTTGAACTTAAAATATCTATAAAACAAAAATGGGTTAATAGTTTAATATAGTTTTTAGATTTTTAGTTACAAAATTAACTACTTTCAACAAAAAACAATTAGATTATATGCCAAAACTCAAATAATAAAAGTTTTTATTAAGAGATACACACAGTTAATTGATTTTTTCCGGTTAAATAATACAACCCAAACTATTAGTAAGAAAGTGAGTATCTATAGATTTGAAACCATTTTATCACTATAATACCATTGAAAATGTCGTCCAAGCAGTTTTTGGAAAACGATATAAAAATGTTGGATTTAAGTGATAAAAATAAGTTATAACAAGTATATTATATTGTCTTCAGGGCTATTGACTACTATTGTTCTATGCTACTAGTAAAAGTTTTACTATATAATGAGAATAATATAAAAATATTACACATGTAAAACTATTATACCTAATAGCTGTTACACGGACACCAGAAAGTATCGCATTTAACACCTGATTAACATGGTTAATAGTTATTAATTGTGATTCATCTTCAGACTTGACTAAATCAATAGCACGCCGACATATGTCCAGAGCTCGTCTTGCATCACCTGATACCGCTGCTACTTTCCTAATATGGAAATAAAACATTTTTTCAAATCAAACATTCAAATTATAGAAAAATAAATTACCTTGCTACCAATTGAACAGCATCTGGATCAAATGAAGAATTACCAATCAATCTATTCATAATTATTTCTTGTAACTGCTGGAATGTGTATGGCTTGAATACTAATCTGGTCAATCCCTAAAATCAAATTGAAACAACAAATCATTAATATTTATCAATAATGTAACTACTTTTTTAATGTATCTACCATTCTACTAGTTACACATCCTCGTAATACTCGTTCAGGTAAATCCATAGTATTAGCAATTGTTATTACAACCACTTTTGAACCAGTTTGACTAGGCCAATCAAGTATATTATATACAACATCTTGTTTACGATTACAAATATGGTCCACCTAACAAAGTTCAATAATTAATTCAGTACTTAAATAGTCAAATATAATAAATTACTTCATCGACCAATAAAATTGTAGATAACTCTTTAACTTTTTTGTTAGAAAAATGGTCATTAAGAAGTGTTTGAGCTCGAGAAGATGATACTGTTTCTCCAGTTAACTCTTTCCATATCACTGAAAATGCTTGGTGTGGATTTGCAAGCCTTAAGCCATTTATTTCAACAAACTAAATAAGATTTTAATTTATAATTACTCACAAAACTCATATTGAATGTAATTATTAAAATGTATGTAAAATTTAAAATTACTTTAAAACTGTGTTTCATTAATAAATCAGCATTTAGTGAATCTATTACTCTCTTAACTGTTGCCGTTTTTCCAGTACCAGGAACACCACTAATATACATACTCCTGTAAAAGTATTATGTAAATAAATAATTAATTACTAAAAAGCATTTAGTAAACAATGTTATATTGATTTCATCAATTTACCCTGTTAACTCGTCATTAATTTTTCTAACTAAAAAAGAATGTATAGATTTATATTCAACTTCACGACAAGGTAAATGTTTAGGAGCCGCATGTAAATGTAAATTTGCTCTAGCTTTTTCTAAAGGACTACATGGAATCTTTGCTCCACTATCCAATCTTTTACTCGCTGAAGCTGTCAAGTTTTTAACGTGGGTCTAAATTAACATGTATTAAAATAAAAAAAAACAATTAAAGAAGTGTTTTTAAAGAAATATCAATAAATTATTAGCAAGTATAAAAAAAAAAATTATTAAAATATTTAGCACTCGTTTTATACGCTACTCAGCACAAACCCATACAGTATTTAGTAGTTTAGGATACTGATACTATTTATATTTTTTGTTTATACCATTAAATATATTTAGTTTAGTTAAGTCAGGATTGAAAAAAAAAGTTTTACAATACTTCATGTACCAAGAGAATATGAGTGTGCAGAAACCAAAACTAATCATTTTTAATACTACACCATATATTATAGAATATGGCCAATAACAAAGCGATCCAGTACGATCTACAGTGATATGTGCAAAGTAGTCTTCACACTCTTTTGGATGAAAATAAATTTATATTTGAAAGAAAAATTATAAAGTATAAGCTAACTTTTAGTATCAGCGTAAATTGATTATTGGTCTGAAAATAATATTATATAATGTAATTATAACAACTATACAAATATGTATTAGTATGTAACTTATTAAATAAGATTTGTTAACTAAACTAGTACCAAATTCTTAATATTTACTTTGGGAGTTTTTCTGGGCGTCTTTGGTGTAGAAATCTCAATTTCTTTATTTTCTGGTATATCTCCTAGGATACTTCGACGCACTTTTGAACCAGAACGAGAAGTGATAGATTGTCTTAAATGTTTCTGAAATTTTTGGAGAAAATAACAGAAAATTTATTATAATCAATACTGAATGATTCTTAAATAATGTTGATTAGACATAATTTAAATGAATTTAACTAAAAGCTATATGCTACACTCAAAATCAAATTAACAAATATGTATTAACATAATATCTATTATGTACTTTATTTAATAATACTCACATTTGTTGGAGTCTTCCAAACATTAATGTCAAAATCTGCATTTTCATCTTTGTTGATTATTGATATTTTTCTACCATTTTTATTCTAAGATCAAAATATTGTTTTTCAAAAAATACAAATTTAAAATGAATTACTAATAATTAATATTTACACTTTTAGGAGTATTTATGTTTTCATCAACCGATTGTCTTGTGCGTTTCTGCAATAAAATGTTTTAAATGTACATTTAAGTTTAATTAATAATTATATTATAAACATACTGGAGAAAACAATAAAGTTTGGTAGTATTTAACAATATTTAATGACATTCAACATCATAGGCATGCGCAAGCTCCTATTAAAAGTGTGGCTTTTATTATTTTTAACCACCCACACACTTACAACCCCCCCTCCCCCCCAAAAAAAATAAATAAAATAGACATTCATAACATAGGTAAGTAGAAATAAAATTGATTTTTAAAACTGATACATAGAAGATTAGTTCAAACATTATGTGAATTAAATTAATAATACACTTATTTTAAGATATTAATCTTTGTTCCCCTGCTATTAATTTTTATACATACAGATGCTGATGTATTGGTCTCGTAATTTGATTTTATAAAAGATGATTCTGAAACTCTGTGTGAACATGTCTGTAAAATTACATCTAATAAAAATGAAATTGAAAATTTTATTCAAGGCTTATGTTGTTTCCATCTTACAAATGCGTAACATACTAAATTTATGCTCAGAAATTAACTTTTTTATGTCGTCAGCTTAAAAATTAGAGTGAATCAACCTATTATGAAACATGATGCTAAAAACATTATATGTGTTTTGTTGGAAGTTTTTTTATGAGAATTCAGTTTTTGAATGGGTGATGAGTGTATAATAAATAAATTATATTAATTTATTAAAAGCAATTAATAATATAATTTTAATATTAAATTTAATTACTTTTTCAGGAGTAGAATTGAAATCTGCTGCACAACCATATCTTTCTACCGGTTTTCTTAGACGTTTCTACAAATATTAAGAATTAGTGATAGGTAAAAGTATCATTAAATGTATTTTTTACATACAGATGCTGATGTATTTGTCTCGTCATTCGATTTTATAAAAGATGATTCTGAAATTCTGCGTGAACGTGTCTGTAAAATTACATCAAATTAATATAATAAAAATGAAATTGAAAATTTTATTCAAGGCTTATGTTGTCTCTGTCTTACAAATGTGTAACATACCAAATTTATACTCAGAAATTCATGTTTTATGTCGTTAGCTTAAAAATTAGAGTGAATCAACCTATTATGAAACATGATGCTAAGAACATTATCAGTGTTTTGTTGGAACTTTTTTTACGATAATTCAGTTTTTAAATGGGTTATGCGTGTATAATAAATTAATTATTGTAAATTAAAAATGCTCATAACTCACTTCAAAACTGAAATATCGTAAAAAAAACATCCAACAAAACACAGATAATGTTCTAACCGTCAAGTTTCATAATAGGTCGAATCACTCTAATTTCTAAGCTAACAACAGAAAACGTGAATTTCTGAGCATATATAATATGGTATGTTACGCATTTGTAAGACGGAGACAACACATGCGGGTGTGGGGTTCTCTTAATAATTATTTAATGGTATAGGTGTTTTGCTATATTGGGTTCTCGATTTTAATAATTAATTTGGTTAATAGTCAATATAAATTTTAAAATAATATTATACATTTACTATTTTCATAATTGAATACCAAATTATAATAGATTTTATCGATATAAGGTTTTAAAGAAACATACAACATATAAATCAACATTATTTTTAATAGCTTAGGTACATAAAAAAAGATATCTTAATTTGTGGCCCGAGAGCACTAGAATAATATTAGTCTGACCCATGAGAGATCATGCCGCGCTGACCAAAACTGGTTCCCACACTCAACACCCTGAAATAGGGTCCATAGGGGAACTGGTTTCGATAGCAGCATGACCAGAGGGAATGCGCTTTACCGGCATGTTCTCTTTTAGGACAGAGTATAAATAGTAAATACTATGTAAGTCCTTCCAAAAGAAAAGACTTACTCAGAAGCCCTGTGATATTTATAGAACTATTACTTTTGGCATATTTAATGTTTCACCTTCAGTGTATTAACATTCATTCATAGCCTCTTAAACTACATTTAATTGACTTAGACCATTGTTGCAACACTAACTCCTAAGTATTTATTTTCTTAAATTATTCTATATTATGTATAATGTATTTATTTTTTATATTTTACTTGTATTACATTTATATTATGATTAATTCGGATGTTTATCACGTTATTAACACATGTGTAATTGTGACAGTGACCACTGTCGCAGTTGAACTATCAATACATTGTTAATAATCAATATGGCCATACATTTAAATGATTAAATATTGATATAAGGAAATCTCATTTACTTGGTTAGTGAGTTTAAAAAAAACCAATTCGCAGTTATAATCTTAAATTTAAATGTTATATAAACTGCATTAAAAAATGTACTTTCAAATACTTTAAAATGTATCAATTTGACGTGTACTTCATTTAATAATACTTACTTTTACTGGAGTCTCCAAAACATCAATGTCAGAATCTTCATCTTCATCAGTTATTGATCTTTTTCTACATTTTATTTTCTGAAATCATAAGTTTATACGTGTTATCCAAATTATGATTTTTACAAATTACAAATTTAAAAACTATTAGAAATATTTACACTTTTAGGAGTATTTATCTTGTCATCAACTGATTGACTTGTGCGTTTCTGCAATCAAATATTTTAAATGTACACTTAAGTCTGATAAATGATTATATTATAAGCATACTGGAGATTACTATGAAGTCTTGTTATATTTAAGAATATTTACGACATTAGACATAAAAATTAAATATTTTTTAAAAACTAAAAGCAATTAATAAATAGTACATAAAAACAAATATCCTAATTAGTGGGCAGAGAACAAAAGAATACTAGATACTATGTCGGTGCGTCCAAAATAAAAGACTTATGAGGACATGATACCAGTATGCGTTGTCTTCATATTACAAGACGGGTGTAACATAGCACATTTTACGCTTAGCAGAACACTTGTAGATTAGTTAGTTGAGTGAAATGATCTCTTATAAAATCTTAAGGTAAGATTATCATCTAAGCAACCTCATGGGCTTTTTATTAAATTTAAGTTTTAAAGCAGGTTATGAGGATTATAAAATTGTAAATTGTCTGTAAATCTTAAAATACACATAACTCACTTTAAACCATAAAATTTTTAACCATAAAATCTTTCCTTCATAACCGATCCTTCGTCGTTCGCTGCGAGGACGAACTCTCACAAATCCACTACATAAAAGCAGGCGTCCCCCAGGGAAGTATCCTAGCACCTACTCTTTACAATATATTTACCTCCGACATTCTTCACTTTGAGAACACCACTCTTGCTACCTTCGCAGATGACACAGGCATAATATCAACTAATGTTGACCTAACCATAGCATCCGAAAATCTACAAGCCCATCTCAATGAACTACAAAACTGGTTCAACTTGTGGAGAATCAAAATAAATCCAAATAAATCTACCCACATAACCTTTACTCTACGTCCAGATCATAGTCCCCCCCATGACCCTCAATAACGTCATGATTCCCAAAGCACATGCCACCCGTTACCTCGGAGTCCATCTCGACAGTAAACTCACTTGGGCAGTTCACATAAAAACTAAAAGGAAATCACTTAACTTTAAACTCCACAAAATGAAACACCTTCTCAAATCAAATCTCCCTCTCAACACAAAACTCCTAATCTATAAACAAATTCTCCGCCCTTCAATGACTTACAGAATACAGTTATGGGGCACCTCCAAAAAATCCAACATTCAAAAATTCCAATCATTCCAATAAATTTGTCTTCGTCTCCTCACAAACGCACCCTGGTACGTTACCAACCTCACACTCCACTCTGACCTTAAAATCCCATATATAAGCACCCTAGCCTCCCTCTCAGTGCCGCAACTACCGGGGGTGCAGGGGGTGCATTGCACCCCCAGTAGAGAATTTAGAGGGCCCCGAAGGGGCCCTCGATAATTGAAAAATACTTAGAATTATTACATAGAAAATTAGAAACTAATATAGTCTATAGATAATAAAGGGTGTCTATGAATAAAATATATATTATGTTCTGTTGAAACAAACATGTTACCAGTTAAAGCAGAAATTTTTAAAAAAAATGCAATCTTTTGAGTTTGTTTTGCTTATAATTATTTGGGAAAATGTTTTGAAACCATTATCTGTGGTATCCAAGATGTTACAGTGCTCACAAACCAGCATCTATCAAGCCAGTGAGTTTTTGCAAATTGGTATTAATTCAATTAAAAATATGAGACATAATTATAAAGAACTGGTAGAATCAGCAAAAAATATGTATTTAAAATGGGGAATACAATTTCAGAATGAAAATAAACGAAAAATTTATTCTAAAAAACTATTTGGTGAAGTTGATGGTGACAGGAGATTGGATATTACAGAGGAAAAATTTTATGTTTCAGTATTTTTACCATTAGTTGATACTGCTTTATTTCAACTCGAAGATCGTTTTAAAGGACTTAAAATAGTATCAAATACTTTTAATTTTTTATTGCCACCAAATATAATAAAATTAAATGAAGCAGAAATAGTAAAATCATGCTATGATTTTATTCAGTTTTACAAAACTGACGTAACTTCCGATTTAACTAGTCAAGTTCTATCTTTAAAGGAGTTTATAAAAAACACTGATATGAAAACAATTAAAGAATTATGTTTATATTTAATAGAAAATGGCCTATCATCTTTGTATAGTGAAGTTGTTACATCTTGTATTATATTTTTAAGTTTACCAGTAACTGTTGCAACGGCCGAACGATCATTTTCTAAACTTAAATTGATTAAAAACTATTTAAGAAACTCGATATCTCAAGACCAATTAACCAACATAAGTATCTTAAATATAGAAAGAGCTCGCACTGAAGAACTTGATGTAGAAAAATTAATTTTAGACTGCCAATCAAAAAAGCAGAAAAAAAAATTTTTTAAAGTAATTTTAATATTATAAATATGTAATTTTTTTATAATTTTAAATGTATTTACTATTTTGTATAATAGACAATAGTGTAAATAAGCAAATATATGTATTATGTATAATATGTAAACATGTGAAAAACATAAATATTTAATTTTTTTATTATAATTTTAAACGTACCTATATATCAACCATTTTTATCTAGTATAAATTTGTATTTTTTTAGTTAAAAAGAAATTTAAATGGTGATGGATACTTAACGTTTACAAATATATTTTTCATGAAAATATTTCGTAAAATTTTGGAAAGTAAGGGGCCCTATTATTTGGTTTGGCACCCCGGCCCTAATAACCTTAGTTGCGGCACTGCTCCCTCTACTATAAATTATTTCACAACAACACAGTCAACCACCCTAATCCACTCATTTCCAATCTCTCATCCGTCACTCTCCCCGATAACCCTCCACGTCGTCTAAAGCGAAATTGGCCCAGGGACCTACTCAACCAATAATTAAAAAAAAAAAAAAAAAAAAAAAAAACATCAATTAAAAGTCTAAAATTGAAGTGTTGAAGTGTTGTGTGGACGCTCCCTTCTATCAAGTCGTCCAGTCTTGTATATAAATTATCATTATTACTTATTGTATAGTTAATACAGATTGTATATATTTTATTTAATAAAAAAAAAAAAAAAAACTAATAACTAGGCTTCTCCAACGATATCGATATTTCGATTCGATATCGATATCGCGAACTTTTTTTCGGAAATTTAGGTATCGATAATCGTTATATATCGTACGATATATCAATAATCGTATATATCGATAATCGATATCGAAATATATCGGATATTCCGGGTTAAAAAATAAAAATAGCATAGGATAACAGGATAACAGAAAAATAATTATTTTTCCCAGTGACTCATTAGTCATTTTAGTCTAAGTTTAAGTTTAAGTTTAGTTTTCAGTTTTGTTTTTCTCATTAATATTTAATATATTAATTGTGTAATTAGTAATTACTAAATGGTATTTACTTTTTAATAATTGTTAATAAATATTAAATAATAATGGCCGGTTATACGCTTGTGCCATTAGCTGGTGAGCGGAAAGATGTATGGAAGACATTTGGTTTTAAAGTAGATTCTAGTGGTGTAATAACAAATAATAAAAAAGTTACTTGCCGTAACTGCTCACTGTCAATAGCATATTCCGGTAACACAACAAATCTAAAATCACACATACAACAATGCACGAAAGTCCCTTCTAAATCCGAAACATCCACAATATCATCATTTTTTACAAGTTCTAAGTCCAAATTGTCACTCAATAGTAAACGCCACAAAGAGCTAACTAGAGATCTACTGAACTTTGTTGTTAGAGATGTACGGCCGTTTAATGTTATTGAAGGAAAAGGTTTTAGAGCGTTTATGAATTTGGCTATTCCTGAATATGTTGTTCCAAGTAACACAACTATAACAAGACTATCTGATCATATAACTTCACAAAAAAAAATTAACTTTAAAAGCCATCTTCAAAAAATACCTAATATTTGCCTTACTATTGATTTTTGGACATCACGAGCCGTAGTTGGTATAACATGTCATTATATTGAAAATTGGAAGTTAAAAAGTAGAGTGTTAGAGACGACAGTGAACATTGAAGAGGCTCACACATCATCGAACATTATGAATAATCTCAATACAATCATTAAGGATTATTGGGAAATTGATGGGAAAGTATGTGTAATAGTCTGTGACAATGCACCAAATATGACTAAGGCGGTAAAAATTTGAAGAAATAAATTTGGTCAGGTGTTCTGCCCATAGCATACAACTGGCAATAAATTATGGACTTAAACATCAATCAATTACAGAACTCCTCATGACGCTTCGTATAATAGTTGGACATTTTCACAGAAGTGAAATGGCTCTACACTGCCTTGAAGAAGAACAAGACCAACTTCATATTCCTGAGACTAAACTGGTGCAAGATTGTGTAACTAGATGGAACTCAACCCATGATATGATGATGAGTATATCTAAAAACCGTGAAGCTATTAATAATTGTTTAAGAAGTAACCGTAAAACAGAAGACTGGTACATAACAGTAAGTCAAAATGAAATTATTGCTGATTTAATAAACATTTTGGAACCATTTAAATCAGCTACCGAAATTCTTTGTGAGGATAAATATGTAACTTTATCGATTGTTGGAAGATTATTCAAGAACTTGATAAGTTCTGTTGAGTGTATATCAACAGACAGTGTTATTGTAAATGAAATAAAGTTACTTGTTAGCACTGATCTAAAAAAAAGACAAAATAAAATTGGAAGTGAAAAACAAAATTGGTAACCCTTGTAATAAAGAAAAGCAAAAAAGTCACTCTTTACTTGCAGACAGTGATGATGAAGACGACCATGACAAAGATGAAGATACAAACAGTTTGAAGAAAAAGTTCCAAAAAGTATTGACCCCTTAGTTTGGTGGAAAGCTAACGAATACAAATTACCTGTTATTGCCAAGTTGGCAAAAAAGTATCTAAGCATTGTAACCACAAGTGTTCTGAGTGAACGACTTTTTAGTCAAGCTGGGCAAGTCGTATCACAAAAAGAGCTAGATTGATGCCAAGCCGAGTGAATGATTTACTATTTCTCAACTCATTCTTGAGGACAGGAGAACCAATTAAAGTGAGTACCTACTACCTAGTACATACTAATTAATTAATTATTAATTATTAATTATTATTATTTATTAGTAATAAATAATAATGTAGTAAAAACTAAAAATATTATGTCCGTATGCATAGTTGATTTATGTGACACATAAATTAACTATGCACACGGGCATCAATGACATATATCCAGTGTTCTTATATCTTATAAAGTATAAACTAATTAAACTATAAAGTAAAAATATTTTGGTAGGTACCTACCTAAATGTATTTAGTATTTACTATTTGACTAATTGTAAAGTAGGTATTTAAAATGCTTGTTAAATTATAATTATTTAAGGTAGGTACCTACTGAATAATTTATGTGCAATAAATTAATATTTATTATTTAATAATCCTATTTTTTTTTAAATTAGGATGAAGAATTTAAGTATGAAGAGACTGAAGACAGTATCTAGTATCTAGTCTACTATCTAGACTGAAGCAAAATTTTAAATGATGTTAAAATTAATGTTTTTATATTTTATTACCTATTTTAGAAAGAAGAGAAGTTTTTTTTTTTATGAAGCAGTCCTGTTGATATTTAATATTTAATTAGTAATATTACTTTTAACTTTAATAGCCCTTTTAATGCCTAAGCTCTTGAATAAAATATTTATTATTTTAAAACAATTAATTGTTAACTAATACCTACTAGTTACTACCTAGTACAGTAGTACCAATAAAAAGAAACCTAACCTTTTTTTGTAGTACCTACCACATAGTTCTGTGTACCTACTACCTAGTTAATTGAGTATTGACTATTGAGTATTGACAATTATGATAGTCATCGATATATCAGAATACAAATCAGCACAAATCAAAACGATATCGATATTCAAAAATATATCGTTGGAGAAGCCTAGTAATAACACAATCATAGCCATTATATTTAATTGATGTTGACTATTACGCAACACTCACTTCAAGGAATTGATTTTCTTAAATTCTTCTATATTATGTATAATGTATTTAATATTTTACATGTATTCAATTTATATTATGATTATTTCGGGTGTTTATCACGCTATTAACACTGTGGTGGTGGTACTGTCAATACATTGTTAATCAATATGGCCATACATTAAAATGATTAAATGCTGATATAAGGAAATCACATTTACTTGGTAAGTAAGTTTAAAAAATACTAATCCTCCATTATGATTTTAAATTTAAATATTACATAATCAGCAATAAAAAACATAATAACAAATATTGAAAAATGTATCAACATGATGTGTACTTCATTTAATAATACTTACTTTTCTTGGAGTCTTCAAAACATCAATGTTAGAATCTTCATCTTCATCAGTTATTGACATTTTTCTACCTTTTATTTTCTAAAATCAGAAGTTTATTCGTGTTATCGAAATTATGTTTTTCAAAAATTACAAATTAAAAAACTATAAGAAATATTTACACTTTTAGGAGTATTTATGTTTTCATCAACTGATTGTCTTGTGTGTTTCTGCAATAAATTTTTTTAAATGTACATTTAAGTCTAATAAATAATTATACTATAAACATACTGGAGAATACAACAAAGTTTTGTTATATTTAACAATATTAAATGACATTATACACTAAAATTTAATATTTTTTTACAAATTAAAAGAAATTAGTTTAAATAGTTTAAATATGAAATTTAATTACTCTTTCAGGAGACAAATCTAGCACTTTAGTGTTATTTAAATCTGCTACATCGCCAAATCGATCAACATGTTTTCTTAGACGCTTCTACAAATGTTTAATATTAGTTATAAGTGAAAAATGCATTAAATGTTTATTTTTTACTTACAGCTTCGGGCGTATTAGTTATCTCATTCGATTTCATAGATGATTTAGAAACTCTGCTTGAACGTCTCTATACAATTACATTTAGTTAATACAATTTAAAATTTTCATTTAATTCAAGGCTTGGAACCCAAATTATTAAGGAATGGTACCAATATTGCTATAATGGATTCTCTATTTTAATAATTCATTTGTTAAATACAGATATTAATAAACATTTACTATTTTCAGTATTGAATACCAAATTATAATATGGTTTTTGTCGATATTGGATTATTGGATATTTGGAAAAATACAATACATTAATTAAGTATATTTTTAATAGATTGGTGTATAAATTAAGATATCCTTATTTGGGTCTAAAGGTGATCAGAATATTAGATACGATGTCAACCTGTCTATAAGAATACTTAAAATGCTTAAAAGTCCTATTTTCAATACTAATACTGTTGTATACTTTTATTGTTCTATCTTATTATACAACAAATGGATACTATAAAAGTATAAACAATTATTCATGTCAATTAATGATAGTCATGTTAATCCTCAATTAATGTGCTCCAAGCCCTGTGATGTATATAGAATTATTACTTTTGGCATATTTAATATTTCATCTTCAGAGTCTGTCGTGTCACTATCAGAGTCACTATCATTCATAGCCTCTTCAACTAAATCTAGAAGATCATTATCATGGCGCTCACTCCAACGTAGTGTTTTTCTTGAATTCTTCTATAAAATCCAACATAATTGTAAAATTTGATGGATTAGATTTTAATTTCTATTGGTTACACAATTTAAACAAATTATAAGTGAATTATACAATTTGTACCATAACATTTTGGGGTAGTATGCAACACTTGCATAAGTTATATAAATTGTATTAACTTATAACATGAAAAATCTATGTTCAGTACAACTAATTTTATGTTAGATTTAATATTAGAATAAATTTACCTTTTGAGAAAATAATATTATTTAGGGGATTTAATAATGATAATAAGTCAACTTACTCTATTATTAAAACAAACAAATCAAAATTGGTACTACTGAATTTTAAATTTACTGTATTGCATGACAGGGACAATATAACTATTATCCAGTAATGCGAGTTTCAAGTTCTCTTGTTTATAAGTGGCAAACACAAAACCCTTGCCATTTTCCAATACTTCATAATAATTATAACTTGTACCTTATAGGCTTTACATATGATAAATTGTTACTTCGGCAATGTTAAGTTGAGCATTGTATATTATTAATTTACGGCAGGTGAATAAACATATTTCAGATATGACATACTTTTGGTGTAGCTGGAAGACTTGAGAACTCATGCGATTTGAGGTCTTGAAGTTTTTCATTTGTCATCTAAAAACAAAATATTGTATAATATTTTATTTTAAAACATTTCTAAATACAATTGAGTTTTGAGTTATCAAGACTCGACTATAATTACAAAAACAACATACTTTTATTTCGCGAGGAGAGAGTATTGATACATAATTAGATTCATTGACACGCTTAATATTCAATTTGAATTCACACTATTTAAAAAATAAAATATTAGTACAATAAATTATTAAATCAAATGTATTCAACTAAACTAAACTAACTCACTAAGATATAACTTACCAAATGTATAATTGTATTTTCAACAAAGCGCCTATTACTCTAAAATTAAATAGGTACATAATTTATATTCAAGTTTTAAGAAACACAAATAAAATGTACTACAGCATTATATAAAATGCTTATTATTATTATTTTATGTTGAGCTCTGGTCAATTGAATATAAGTCATATAACATTTATTTTTAGCCTGCCATTAAGCAGTAGCATATACTGTGCAGTCGCTAATATTAAATATGCAGTAGGAAATTTAAAAGTGTGCAGTACTTATTTTCGGCTTTTATCCATTTTTCTTTGATAAATATTCAATATTGATTATTGAAAATTACTAATTTCTAATTAGCATATTGTATTCGTTTAAAATTCTTAACACTAAAAATAATTACGACTACACCATATTCTGGGCGGCTTGCCGGGCTTATAATACAATAACTAATAAGTATATTAAAACAACCTATTTAGTTTATTAGTTTTAAAATGTTTAGTCATACATTTTATCACCCTTATTATGGGTATCAAGGACTTTAATAGAAGATTGTCTTAGATTGTATTTATTACAACTTATTATTAATAAATATCAAACACAATAATGCAATGAAGTTATTACGCTTATATGTGGCATGTGCACTAGTAGGTCTATGTTCATTATTTTAAAATATTTTGGTGTGGAATTAGGTGTGCAGTAAAAAAATATCTTAATTTTAGGCCCTGATTTTAGCACTATGTAAATAAAATTGTATCTACCTACACCAAGATTTTAAGCTAGATATAACAACATCATAAGACCCACAATGAAATCCTAATTCTAATTATTCCTTATGTGCTATGTCTAATATCATTGAGTACAAGCACCGATATAAGTTTTTCAACACCCATAGCCCCCCACTATAACATAGACTAATGCACAAATACGGATCCATGTAGTGGCAAATACAAGGCGGGCACAGGGCGGTCAGCCCCCCCCCCTGTACTGGGTTTTTACTTTATTTTTATCATCCTTAGGTGACTTCTGGATCCAGGGGAAGGGCATTTGTCACTCGCTCTTGAAAAACTGTTAAGGCCTAATATCAGTGGCGTCAGCAGGGGGGGAGGAGGAGGGCTAACGGGCTGTATTTCCCATCCATTGCCCGTATTATATTACTTAAAAAAAAAAAATCAAGTTTCAACTGCCAACTATAGTAAGCAAGACGTAAATTTCATATATGTCTTACCAGAATGAATTCATTTTTGAAAAAACCTACCAATTTTCATAAATTATCTGTAATTGTTAGGTAAAAGTATGAACTACTTGTATAAAAGACCTTGTATTAAATTGTCTAGCCTTAGCTATACACATTTAATATTTTATAAGTTTTGAACAACAAATTAAATGTGGTTTTCATGAAATTTAAACTTTAAATGCTTATAAAAAAAAACCATGATGCCTATGTATAATGTATCGTTAAAATTTTAGCTATAATAAAAACTTAAGTATTACATTTTTAAGCTTTTTGATAGGATGAATACAGTTTTATTGACATTTCTAGAATAAAATATGTTAATTAATCAAATACAATCCAAGTGAGGACGATATAACCACAGCATAAATATTTAATCTATTCTGTGGTATAACCAAGCTGGTTACCAAACAATTTTAATAAATTTTCATTTTTTTTTTCTCTAATTATTTTAAAAAGCACTGAGCATTTTCAATTTCAACCTCATAAAATTAACAACTACATCCAATTTGCTTCCAAAAACATACACCAGGCATCGAAGCTTATGATCAGAGCATTTTTTCTACCAGAAAAGTTGAAAAGTTACAAACATTTTAAAATACCTAAAATAAATCATTAGACTGGACAAAATAAAAATTACTAATTTTCAAGCCCCCCCATTGAAAAATCCTGCGTACACCACTGCCTAGTATGGTTTATTCCTGTATGGTGTTCCATTTAAAGAGTTTAACGGGTTATGTTGAGTATCGGCAAAATGTCTATAGTCCATTCTGCCTCCTTCAATTATTTAGCATCTACCATAGACATTCTGTATTGTACTTATCAAATATATATGAATGTGAATTTGTTAAAAGAGATCCAATTTTAATTTTTGACAAAAATAGTTTTGTTGTATATTATTCATCTTCTTATGTAAAAACATCGTTGACATAAATCAAAGACTGATTCAAAAAAATTAGGTACATAAGTTTTTCTTTTTTTTTTAAATTGTTATTTATTTGTTTATATTCAAAGTAAGGTATTATATTATTTTAAATGGTGACTATTATATTGAATTATGATACCTTAAATTAATACAATTATTAGAATTTGTTTAAAAGTACCTATGTCACATTACAACAATTTGTTACTTATAAAAGTACAAATTTTTTTTTTAATAATTTTTTTTTTGCTTATTATTTTTATACAATAATATTTAATCTAAATTGTGATTGATCTTATTACGCAAATATAAATAAAGGAAAACTGTTTCTTGTTTCTCCTGAAAAGTAGTTGAAAATGTACATGGGTCCCTTTTAACAAATTGCCATTCATATACCTATTTTTTTTTTATGTATACTTACAGTTCGAGGAGGTCTTCCATTTTTCAATCTTTGCCGAGTGCAAGGAGTTGTACTATATTCTGATGGTGAGTCAACCATCTTAAAATCAAAAAATAAGTATTAATAATTAAACTACAAAGTTCAATAATTATTATTATTTAATTGAATTAGCAGAAGGTAAGGAATTATTTTTGTGAGAGCACAAAGGAAACTCATTACTAGGGCATAGGAAATCATGCTCTAAAAATGTATTAAATTGTTAATAATATTTATATTCTTAATAATTTATTTTTATTTTGTTTAATTGGCTAAACCATCATCCTACTGTGGGTAAATACTAAATATAAATTTGTCTCTATGCAATTAATCAATAAAAATATTTTTTTACCTTCTTATTGGCACAATATACAATAGTTTTCTAAAACAATGTTATAAGTAAAATAATCAATTTATATATAATTTTAGGTATTACGGTGTCATAAATAGTAATTCATTGTAACCAAACAATTTCACATGAGGCACACAAACGGCATAATGGAAAAAAACATATTATATGTTATTCAATAACAGTAGCTAAGAGATAAATAGGTTCATTATAGATAATTTAGATGTTTCAGTAGACAGTATTTTATAAGAATTTAAATTGTATTTATAATGTGTAGGTACCTACCAGGTGTCTAGGTAGTATAAAAATAAATTAACTAAATGATCAAAAAGTAATTGATCAATACGAAATTCCAATATAACTTGAATAATAATAGTTTTAAAGGTGGTAACATATTATTAAAAATATTATATTACATTGTAGGTTGTAACTACCTGTTGTTATTAAAAAGAAATGACTTGTACATATCACTTCACAATGAAGAATAAATAAACATCATCTTACTTAATATTATAATAATATATATAGTTAATATTTACCTTCTAAATAATAATTGACGAATGGCCAAATGGTCTATGTGGGAAAAATTTAAAATAATTACTGACTAGTGACTACTGCGGACTGAGTTCTGAGTTTCTGACTGACTGAGGGCTGACTGGCTGAGACTCTGAAGAGTAGTAGTTACTATTTATTTTTTTTTTCTACTCACTAGTTAGTAATGTAATAACACGATTATACGAAATGATAGAATATGGAACACGACAACAAAGAAATAACGAATACGCGGGAAACGTTATCATCAAACATATGACCACAGAATATATACCATGATAAATTTTGATAATTAATGACCACCGCAGTCCACGAATTATGATAAAAAATAATGTAACACTAAAATCAGTTAAATCGTGCCATGACACTGCAGTTATAATATAATAAATAATAAAGCAGATATTTTTTAGAGATTATGACCACCCCGATTTAAGATCATTTTAAGATACATTATTATAAAAATCAAGACATAGGTATTATATAATAGCCGTATAGGGTGATTCGCCAAGAATGCTCACCCCCTTTTTTTCTTTATAAATGGAGTCATTCAAATTATGATTTATGATTTTTGAACATTTTAAATATACCTAAAGAGTATATTTTCGTTTTAATCGGTCAAAATATCCAAATTTGAAAATGTAAAAACCATTTTTATAAATGAACACAAACATTTTAAAATGTTGTATCTCGTTATAGTAAGGCTCTTAGTCTATTAGAACCTAAGTTATAGATACGCAACATAAATTTGAAATAAAATATTGGTTAAATGTAAAATAATTAAATTGTGTGGATTGTAAGATAAAATTTTATTTTCTAACAAAATTAGCTCAAATATTAAATTATAAAATTATCTCGTAAAATTAATTCAACATAGAGACGCAGTATTAATAATACTAAATTAATTACCTACTTTAATATAGCAATAATATCTCAAAATATTCTTCACAAATATATTATAATTTATAATAGGTTTTATTGTCAATTATAATATTATATTGTTATTATTTTTAATTTTTTTATTATATAGGTAAATTTCAACATAAATTAAAAGTTCAGCTCAGAGTTGAAAGGGGGTGGGAAGGTTTCGACCCAACAGAATACAAAAGTACCAGCCCATTTACCAATTTATAGTATTTTTTTTCCTAGATTCGCTGAAAACGATGGTGAAGTTAGAATTTGGGGCTAGGACATAGTTTAAAAGTTATGACACTTCAAATTTAGGAAACTTTTCTACTTTAAGGGAGACCCGTTTTTTTGGGCTTTTTTAAAAGCTTCTATATAGTTTACTTTATGTACCTATTACGAAAACAAAATATGTGTGACTGTGTACGTAATACGTATATCTTTTTATCTTCATAAACTTTATTTCCATACTTGCAATTTTATAAGTTAATATATTTGGGCTAATTTTACTAGAAAATATTTCTCTATACATCATTTTATTATTTTACATTTTAACATTTTATTTATAAAAACGTTTTACTAAATTTTTAAAAATGGTTATTTTGTCCTTAGATATTTTGGTTTGGATATTTTGTCCGTAAACTTTTGTTTTCCAAGTAGGAACCCCTATATTTTCTGTAAATTGCAGATAATTATTTTAGAAATATTGATAAATCTAAAACAAAAACCGACCGAACAGTTTCTGAATATAATTTTACACCTTGATATACAAATTAGAAATAACTAATTAGTAACGAATTATGATATACGGATAAGACATTAATAATTATTATTATAGGTATGGGTACCTTTATGAATCCCGGAATAAAAATCCCCCGTAAAAAAAATCCCCGGAAAAAAAATCCCCGGAAAAAAAAATCCCCGGAAAAAATATCGCCCGACGAACTACGCCGGAAAAAAAATCCCCAGACTACAATATTACTCACAACCTCGTGCAAATGGTTGAACAAATATTTTTTAAACGTTAATTAGTATCTATAATTAATATTTAATTACAAATACGTATATTATATTCTATTATATTGTTAAAAAAATGATATAATATTATAAATAATATTTTGTTTTAAATTACGATAATATATTATGTGTAATTCAAATTAAATAACTAACTTTACCTTATATTATATATTATCAAAAGTACATACTATAAACCGCTTATCGTCAAAATGTCACAGAAATCGCAATATTTTATTTCGGGAATTCAATTTTTACAGAATTATACCTACATAAAATATATAGGTACCTATATTTTGTATAATATTTTTGTATACTATGTTTTTAACTGTACTATTAATTGACGTATCGATCATTATAAATATTTTTATAATTTTTTTAACAATATAATATAATATATTATATTATAATAGAATATAATATACGTAGGTATTTGTCATTAAATATTAATTATAGATACTAATTAACGTTCAAAATATATTTGTTCAACCATTTGCATGTGATTGTCAGTAAAGGTCGCTCCACACTATGTATGTTTCGCGTTTCATGTTTTCACGTTTTCGTAGAATTTCGTGAATAGTGTGTATAGCTTGTTCACGAAATTTTTTTTCGTGAAAACGGTTTCGTAGTGTTTCGCGAACGAGACGGTAAAATTGACGAAATCAAAGGACACGAAAATATTTTTCGTACTGTTTCGTGTCGTTTCGTTGTATTTTGTTGTTGTTCGTGTAGTTTCGAGTTTCTCATGTAAACAGGAAGTTCATAATTATTATCACTACGAAACGTGAATCACGAAACGCGAAACGCGAAACATGCATAGTGCCATAGTGTGTATACCTTTCTACGAAACACTACGAAACACTACGAAGCACTTTGAAACGCGAAACGCAAAACGCGAAACATGCATAGTGTGGAGCGACCTTAATATTGTAGCTGGGGATTTTTTTTCCGATTACCACCTTTATTCCTGTAATTAGTACCTATGTATAACATTATTAATATAATAATTAATAATAATTATTATTATTGTTATTAATATAATGAGATAAGCCTAGACCTACTACAACGTTTGCTTCGAAGATTTGAATACAATTATAATCGGTAAGATAGTTGTAAAATATACTAAATACCTACCACAATTTAATATAACATAGGTACATTGCCCACTTAGGGAACTATCAACTAATCGTATTCAGAATTTATTCTGTATTAAAAGTACCTACATAACAGTACCTATATAAGTAGTCAGAACCCCCCCCCCCTAAGTGCAGGTAGACTAGACAAGAGTAGAGTAGTAGACCTCCTAGAACAGTACCACAATCCCATAAAGTACCTATTTAGTAGGTCAAGGGCGTATTTATAGGGGTGGCTGCGTGGGCTTCAGCCCCCTCCGAAATTTTAAGAAAATTTAAGGCATAATTCTAGTTTAGCAACCTATCGATTTTTTAGGTTTTGTTTTTTTTAAATATGTGTTTTTAGGTGCTTTATAAGAATCTAAAATAAAATAAGGCCGGACGGACTTCGTTTGGAAGTTACAGCCTTCCAAAGTTTGTGATTTTACGTTTATACGCATGCGCGCAACGCCGCAACACTACTATAAGCGCAGTGACGAGTGCCGCAAGACGTGTTATCACTATACAATATACATACTATACAACATAACTTTATTTGTCTGAATACAGTGTGTTTATGGATTATAATATAAACTGAAAACTTAGATTAGGTAAATTAGCCATTTACATTGGTGCCATCATTTGTAAAACGTTGATATATCTAGGTTTCAAAAAAAGTTGACTTGTTAGGTCATCCGTCTGCCCGAAGGGCAGGTATGCTCTCCCCCCCGTGACCCCGAAGGGGTCGCCACCCCTCTCCCTCCCCCCAGGTTTGCTATTTAAGCCCCGGGGGGGTTGGGGGCCGAGCCCCCATCCAGCGAGAGGTCCGTAGGACCTCGAGTAAGGCGACCGGAGCCGGTAGGCGTAGGGAACTTCTATAGACTTATGTTACTCTAACTGTCGACCGGTGCCGATAGGCGAAGGGAGTCACTATATACTTATGTAAACAGGTCAAGGAGTGAAAACACAAATTAACTATGCATACAGACTCGTAACTTTTATTATAAAAATATCGACGTCCTCCGCGGGGCATTATAGTAGTGTTGCGCGCATGCGTATAAACGTAAAGTCGCAAACTTTGGAAGGCTGTAACTTCCAAACGAAGTCCGTCTGGCCTTTTTTTATTTTAGATT